TGATTATAGGGGCCCCCAAAAAGCTACCCCTAATTTTGGGAACCCCCCATTTCCTCTCGGGACGCTGCCCGAGGTGGAAAATGGATGTCCGAGACAGGCTCCGCGCGATCCTTGGTCAATATTGAGGGAGTCCTCCTTCGGCTTGCTGGTAGGAGTAAGGAAGGAAGAAAGGGAAAAGACAAGGGAAGCCACCATAGGGTGAGGGTTTAGTTTAAGCTTCAGGGGTCAGAGGTCAGGGAATGGAAAAACAACGTGGACCTTTAATACATTTCAGTGGACACTGCATGGGACATTAGAGCAATCCAATCATCCATTTCCTACTACGACACGTGGTAGTTTCCCCAAATGAGGGGACCTCAATATAGACCCCAAAATACTATATTCCTTATTATGGGGACCCCCAAAAAGGTACCCCTAATTTTGGGAAACCCCCAGGTAAGTTTGGGGTGCTTTGGCTTGATATGGAGCAAGCCCATTTTGAATGCACCGATTGGCTTACGCTTTTGTTCAAGCTACATGCTTATGTGGCTAGAAAATTCTTGGAAGACGTGTGGCTGTGATGCTATGCGTATGACTATTCCTATAACGGCTACGACTACTATGACAAGGACAGCGACCACCGCTACCACCACTACTAGTGATACTATGTACCCCTTGCCGTTTCTATATGACTATGATTGTTACTATTGTTGAGTCTCTATGTCAGTGCCGTGGGGTCGGATGGGTAGGGCTTGAGCGCCTCAACGCCTTTCCCTGGGAGTTGGACCCGCCACCCTCATGATAGACCGTACTGCGGCATCTGTCACGTAAAGACTCTCTTTATTTGTCGCAACGGCTGCTTACAGAGCTTCAAGCCATTGTTGCAACACCCCGTTTCTCTCTTGAATGTGTTTCGGTTTTGGGCTGCTAGCAGAAGGGGGGGGGGCTACTTATTAAGCGGAATGCCGCAGTTTTCCATACATGATACCATTATCAGTTAAAACTGCTTTTACGGCGGGTGAGAGAAGATCAATGAGGAACCCCGCAGGTTTGAGGTGAACTTGTTAAGGTCCTCGCTACATCAGGTGCCTGAACGATGCCAACAAATCTAGATCCCCTACGGCATGGCATGTCTCGTAGTAGGAACCCTGTTGTAACGAAAGGAAGCAGCAGTTGCCTTTCTCACCTTAAGTCTAATTCTTCGAGGGCATGTGGTATGATTCTGCAGACTCACTGGGCAGCTGGGGCACGCACTCTCGCCATCAAATGCCTGTCAGAAACTGGCAACATGTCTTGAGATGGGGCTTGAAGGACTACAGAGTGATTCTGACTCGAATCGTGCTGGCGGGGGTTGGGCCGGGGGCAGGGGGCAGGGCCTGTAAGTTAACTGAAACGCTGAATTCTAGTTTCAATTTCCTTTCGATTCCGTTAACTGGCTTTCTGTGTAGCAAGTTAAACGGACGCAATATCTAGGACAAAAGGGAAATCTGCAATTTACTAACATCTCCTTGGATTTTTAATGCTCATGTCTGCATAACATCTGAGAAATCAGTAAGTAATTAGCCAATAACAACTTCAAAAATGTTGAATTCATTTAGAGCCGTTGTTTTTTTCGACAAGTTTCTTTGCACAAATTCCTTCAGAAAAGCTTGAGAACAATCAAGGTTTAGGAAGGGAAGGAAATCCGTAATTCTAATTAGACTGTCGTCAGATTGAGCCGTGCATTAATTTTGGCTTCTGGGTATAAGCATATGAAAGACATAGAAACAAAGAGCTACCGGTATTCCTTATAACGACCCCCCTCCATCTCAACCCATCCTAATTCAAAATGAAACGGCTTCTCGCTGGTCCCATTTTCTGGTATGGGATGGATAGCCACCCCTCGCCCCCAAGGCAACCTGGATCCTTTATGAACTACTTCTGCTTTTCCTGTACCAGTACAATTAGAATACCTGAAGCACCAAGCTTACCTTGCACACTCGCTTCTTTCTTTCTTAAAGCTGGAGATGTGAAATCCGCTAGTTACGCTAGCTTCCTACGGGCAGAAAACTGGGGCCACCAGAGCGCGCCTCTTTGTTTGTAAACAATAGTATTCCAGGCATCTAGGCTTCCGCGCAAAATGTTTGTTATTGAACGGCGATGTATTTAAACGAAGTGACTCATGGTAATCTTGTTAATGTTGTTGCTAACAATTCCAAGAGGAGCACTAGCAATAACAGTAGCAACGGTAGTGGCAATGGTACTACTACTGGTAATAGTAGTACTAGTTAGAGCGATGATAGTATGCCAGTCGTGACAATGATAGCTGGAATCCGGGCAGTACGCAGCTAGTGACAGCACTGTCGGCCTCGGCGGTGTCCGGAGCACCTGGACCTGACACAAATGTCAATGATCAATTGGAGATGGTGAGTTATTAGTGGAGGTATTGATGTCTAGATTTATGCCTGGTAAAAGACTCACGGTACACACCCCTTTTTGAACCCATGCTCTGGCTTCCCCGCATCCCCAGACCCTGAGTTGCCAGGGAAGACTTGCTTGGAATGTCTTCATAGGGCCGTCGCCGCGTGCTGCCGGTTGAAGGAGAAGCCGATATGGTATTGCGAGCTTGCACTTGGGAACTGAGAGATCTCTGTTCACCTAATCTACAAATTTCCCGAACTTGGACTTGGCCCTACTTCTAACCACCCCCACAAGAAACAGTCACATGGCTCATATGAAACAAGGCCTGATCCCAGAAAGGCCATGATCCTGAGATATCAGCGACTTTTCTCAAACCTCTATGTGCCCCTCTTTTTCTCAGAAGGTGATTCCTGTGTAATGGTTCGGGCCCTCAACCCTAAAGGATTGCCCTGCAAAAGAGCTGGGCTACAAACAGCATCGCATTCCGTATAGCATCTTAGACCCTGGCCCTACGGCCGTGCGAACTTCGCGAGGGCGAGCAGGCACCCCTGTGAACAAAAGCTTAAGAGTTTAGGGTTTGTGTTGTATTCAGGATTCTGGGGAGTGAAAAGGGCTTTCTAAACAGTACGAGTATGGTCCCATTTAATATGCCATGGTGAGTACCTTAAGGTTTCTATGCCAGTGATCGGGAATTTGGGGTTTGGGCTTCCAAATATTATGAGGAACCCAATGTTGGGGGAGGCTTCATGTGCTGGCTGGCAAAGCGTAGCAGCAAAAGCAAAGGAGCAATGGCAACGAATCTCGTGCGGTTACTGGTCAAAAAGATACAAGACCCCGAACACTTTTTGCATCTGGACTCCCTCAGCCCCCGAACCCTAAACCCTAAACCCCAAAACCCTGAAACCTGAAGCTGCAGTTGAGCCTGGAACTCGACGGGCCTGACACAGGGCTACTGTAAAAAATCGTTGAAAAACTAGCTTCTGCAAGGGCCAAAGAAGTTCAATGTGGTTATAGGGAATTGTGTGAGAGGTATTTCGGGCTTGCAGAAACTCCGAAATTGATTTAGAAGTGAGAACGACTGCCGTGTAAACGTAACAGCGGCCACGCTGTATACTGCAATGCTGGCAATAATGATGTCTGAGGTGTAGCTGGCTGCATTCTTATCCCAGAATCTTCGCAAGCATGCGTGATAGAGATGGACAAACAGAACAAACAGCAGCCCAGCCTATATCTTTATAAGGTGAACAGATTTTGCCTTCGTCTGAGTTGGTAGTTGTAATCGTGGCAGTACTGGAGAGGGAAGTGCCGCTGCGCAGGATGGTAATCAGCTGAAGTAGTCCAAGTACGGCATTCCGGACACTGTTAAAACTCCGAATTTGAGCGGCTGAAAAATGGGAGGGTGGGCAAACGTTGCAGATGTCCCAAACTGCAACCGTTGGACCAAGCTAAAGAAGTGACAGCTACCACACGGTTGGCCCCACATTGTAATGCATGTAACGGTCTTAAGGGACCCTTTTGCTCTGAGTGGAACATATATGTATGTACACATTTTTATGCGCATGCATGCATGCATGCATGAGTTGGTCGCCAGTCCTCGCGGAATCTCATTGGGCCGCTTCCGAGCAGGCTGGCTGGCGGATCGCAGTCCTGCACTCTTCTTGCGGCTACACAGATTAAACAACCCACCAATGTTTGTTGGGCAACATTTTCGAACGACTACTTGACGTCATGCTCGAAATGAAATCGAAGGTCAAATCTCCACACAAGCCACATGCCTGGCAGCGGCTGCTGGACGAAAACTGGCCTGGGCACGCAATTGAAATCAAGTCGGCTCGGCATAACTTTGCTTAAAGCTGGGCTAACCCCATGTTGCACATCCTTCCGGCATGTGGTCCATCATGCTGTGCATTCTATCCTGGGTTTGCCGCTGGCATGGCCGCGGAGTGCGCGCACCTCGTCGAGCTGTCTCCGCCAAGGACGGCTTCACCTTGTGAAAGGGATGTGAGGATATCGGTCGTCTCTTTCAAGTACCTTACTTTGGTAAACTTGGCTGCCCTGAGGGTTACTTTTGGGGAGAGTGTGTTGAGACATGGTGAAGACAAAACGCCTCGCAACCGGCAAGTTGCTGTCATGAAGCACCATCTGGTTTGTGGGAATTATGAAATCACAGAATTACCACATGCACATGAAGATGTACGCGCATTCCTTTACATATATGAAATAATATGAGGACTATACACATAACTGTCATATTGCAATCTTCATATTTGTTTATGTGGATGCCCTGCCTCAGAAAGTGGGTCTCCCTGAGGCACAGCGTGCTCCTGGGCCCAAGCCGGCAACGGAAAGTCCCGAACTCTGGGCTCCAGCATGGGAGGCTCAGGGGGCCGAGCCTGGCCTCTGACCTGGGATGCAGCAATTTCCATGAGGGGCACTGGCTTACACAGCCCGAAATGCTGTGACCCAAACCCTATAAGGTCGGTTAAAATGAAAAGCTTGGGGTTAAGGGATCCGTGTCCTGGGAATGTAGGGCTTGCGGATACACCCTACAAACTGGTCGTTTCTCCTAGGAAGACACTAAAATCAAACATGTTCATCAACGGCAACCCAGGAACAGTGTCCTGAGAAAGGGAACGGACGCCATGAAGGCCACTCGGACGTCCTGCTGGCCTGCTGGAATCTCTCCCCCCCAGGTCTGGGACACGTCCTGGCTGCCAAGGCGAGCCGGAAGGCTCCGAACGTGGCCATGAACCGGGTATCTTGGGAGCCTGGTCTGGCGTGCAGCAAGCTTCCGCCTCATGAAGAATTGCGCGCAGCTTGTCCAAGGATGGAACCTTGATGCCCGTTGTGGGCTCAGCCTGGCCTGCGGCATCACTGGTCACATCACCATGCTGCCTTTCAGAGCTTGAGAGCAGCTGCAGCAATGTTTCCACTGGCGGCCTATCCTGGGAGGAAGTGGGCTGACTTACTGGCGGAGCGTGATAGTGGGCCCGCATGGAGGACTCGCCTTCGAAGGGGATGGGAGCGGACGTCAGCGCGCCCTCCTCCTTTGCAACATGCTGCAGCAATGCTTGCAGGGGTGGCGGCTGAAAATCTCGATGCGAAGTGGACTCACCCTCAAACTTTGGACACTGCAAGGTGCCGCGCATGGATGCGCCTGGTTGCTGATATGCAGCACTCCTGAGTGCCTCCAATGATGGTGCACGGTAGTGTGCCCTCATGGATGACTCGCCTTCGAACGGCACGCGAACTTTGGGGTCAAAGCTCACATGTGCTGGTCGCATCGGCTGGCATGAACGCAGTGCATGCGCTTGGTAATCGGAATGTGCTGTAGACTGGCCCTCGAACCTTGCTTGGGACAAGGTGTCAGAATGCATCTGCGCAGGTAGGTGAGCAGTTTGTCGCAGGAATGCCTCCGCTGGAGGAGCTTGGTAATGAGCACGCATTGACGACTCACCCTTAAACGGAACAGCAGACTTGTCTAGATCCTTAACATCTTTGTCAGCCCTGTGTGCGCTCTGAGCACCAAGCAGCATTGGCAGCAGATGTGGCTGAAAGTCGCGATGTGTTGTGGATTCGCCACTGAACTCCAAAGTCTGGACAACAGCATTTTGAGAATCCGATGGGCGAACACCACTGTCACAGAGAGCTGTCCTGAGGGCTTCCGCTGGTGGGGCCTGGTAATGCGCCCGCATGGAGGACTCCCCCTCAAAAGGAGCTGCCGGACCCACCTCCTCTGCACGAGCTGATGGCAGCAGTCCCTGCACGGCCTCCAGAGGGTGTGCATGAAAATCGCTGTGGGCTGTAGACTCACCTTCGAACTTCACCGCCT